GAGTAAAATTTAGCTGTGTGAGTGTTATGCTGGCGTTGTAATTGAAGATAACTTGCAGGCAGCCTTACATCAGGGAACCCAGTTTACTGGGAGCATTTTTTCTGCATGGAGACCTTCTCCATTATTCTCATGTTGCTTTCTAATTAATCCCTGCTTATAGAATGCCTAATAATATTTACACTTACTTTGAGCAAGCGTTAAAGTTTCCCATTAATGGGAGAGGATTAGTTGTCCTTTTGTATGGCTTTATTTCTGGGCTCCTTTTTTTTTTAATCATTGACCTATTTAAATTTCTTTACTCTGATACTATGATGAGTGTTTCGGTTTTGTTTGTTTTGATTTGAGTTTTTGTTACTCTGGCTTTATCACAATTCTTAAAATCAAGTACTGCTACTTCTCCAGTTTTATCCTTTTCAGAGCTGTTTTTAGCTATTCTAGGTCATTTATGTTTCCATTGGAATTTTAAATTCAGTTTTAAAATTTCTAGCACCTCCTGACCCCAGAAAACACCCTCCTTGACATTCGGAAAGGGATTGCATTGGAGCTATAGATTTATTCAAATACTCATTAATTTGCAGGACATTTGACACTGGTTTATTTGCATGAAGTTATTAATAATATTCCTTTATGCTTTATGATCTTTTAACCTGTAGATTCTCTAGTGAAATCATCTCTCTCATTTCTTTTTTTTTTTTTTTTCTTTGAGAGGTGTTTTGCTATAGGGCACGTGCACTCGCCCGAAAGACAGAGAGAGACAGAGAGATAGAAAGTGAGATATCACCCCCCAGGGGGGATGGCCACACCGCAATCCCTTCTCCTCCATTCTCCTCTTGGGATCTTGGGCACACACGCACATGCGCCCGGCGTGAGTTTTAAGCCACCGGGTCTGGGACGCGAACCACAGTCAACTATGTGGGAGTCCAGCGACATAGCCATTACACTAACTGCTGGTCCCCTAAATCATCTCTCTCATTTCTAATAGCAATTTTTGTCTTCTCTTTGTGATCAACCTGGCTAGAAGCTTATCAAGTTGTTTTATCTTTCTTTTTTAAATTTTTAAATTTATTCATTCATTTATTTTAAATTGACCAGAGCGAGACAGAGCGAGAGAGGGAGAGAAAGTGGGAAAGCAAGCCACCAAGTCCAGGACTTAAACTGTGGTCGGCCATGTGGGAGTATCCAGTACCTTAACCACCACGCCACCTGCTGGTCCCCAAGTTGTTTTATCTTTTCAAAGAATTAGCTTTTGCTTTCATTCCCACCCACCCCCCCCACTTTGTTTGTTTTCCAATCAGTGATTTATGTTTAGATCCATATTATTCCTCTTTTTTCCCCTGTGCACTTAGAATTTAATTTTGTCTTTTTTATCAGATTTCCCAGAGTGGAATCTGAGTTGAGACCTTTCTTTTCTGTTTTAAGAGAATTAGTGCTATAAATTTTCCCTTAAATACTGCTTTAGTAGCATTTCATAAATTCTATTAGATTGTGTTTATTTTCATATAATTTAGAATTCTAATTTCCCCTTTGATTTCTTCTTTGATTCATGTATTACTACTTTCCAAATGTCAGTCATTTTCCAGAGATCTTTCTGTTACTAATTTGTAATTTAATTTAATTTAATTCCCTGTGGTAGGAGAAAATATTTTTTATGTTTCAAATTATTTTAAGTTTATTGAAATTTACTATGCCCAATATGTGGTCTCATGTGGTAAGATTCTGATGTACCTGAGAAGAATATATATAGCCTGCTGTTGTGTGTGGAATGTTCTGTAAACATCAAATAGATCAAGTTGATTGTATTTGTTTAGAGATCTTCTATAGCCTTACCATTGTTCTATCTACTTCCTCTATCAATTATCAAGAGAGCATTTTGAAATTTTTGAGATTTGTTTCTTTATTTTCTTGCAGTTCTGTCAGATTTGTTTTATGTAATTAAAGTATCTGGGTGGTGTTTGTTTGTTTGTTTGTTTGTTTTGCTATAGAACCCGTTAGCTTGCCAGAGAGGGGTGGGAGGGAGAGAAAGTAGCCCCAAAGGAGGATGACCATGCCTCAATCTCTTTTCCTCCACTCTTCTTGGATCTGGGCCATGTACACACATGCATCCAGCACGTTTTTCAGTCCCCTAAAGATCTCTATATATTTTTAATTATCAGAAGGCATGTTCACTTACCAGAGAGAGAGAGGCAGAGACAGAAAAAGCACCCCACTCCCACAGTGGTGCATTGTCATGCCACAGCCTCTTCTGTTTCTCCATCCTGTGGTGTGATGGTGAAGGTGTTGGACTCCCACATGGCTGGTTGTGGTTTGAGTCCTGGACCTAGTGGCTTGAAATTCACATCAGGTGCATGTACATGTGTACCCAAAAATCCCAGGAGGAAAAAGAAGGAGAAGAGATTACAGCATGGCCATCCCCTCTGGGGGACGATTTCTCAAACATTCCCTCTCTGTCACATACCCTATGGCAAAACTTAAAAAAAAAAAGGAAAATTTAGAATTTTATGTCTCTTTAATGAATTGGCCCATGTATCACATATAAAAATATCATCTTTGTTTCTGTTAACATTCTCTGATCCTGTCAACCTGCTTTGTTCTGAAACCTACACTGATACTAATATAGACACTGGAACTTTCTTTTGGTTAATGTTAGCATAGTATACCTGTTTTCCATCCTTCTCTTTTTAGGGTATTTGTATTTGTGTGTGTAGCGGGACTAGGTGTGGGTATGACGGAATAAATAGGTCAGTAAGCAGTGTTTTGTTTAGACAGCTTCACTGATCATTGTTTATTTTGTTTGTTTAGTTTTTGCTATAGGTAGTGTGTGCTTGCCAGAGGTGGGGGCAGGGAGAGAGAGAGAGATTACCCCCTAGGGGAGCGATGACAACACAGCAGTCCCTTCTTTTCCATTCTCCTCTTGGGATCTTGAACATACATGCACATGTACCTGGTATGATTTTCAAGCCACTGGATCCAGTACTCAAACCACAGAGTTGGCTATGCAGGATCTGGTGCCTTAACCTCCACGTCACCTGCCAGCCCACTGATGCCTGTTTTATTTTGGGGGATTTGATTTTTCTCCATGTGTTTTATTTTAGATTTTTCTTTCCAATTTGTCACAGGGTACATGTGCTTGCCAAGAGAGACAGGGAAAGAAAGAAAGTAAAAAAGCATCCCCCAGGAGGGATGACTGTACTACATTCCCTCCACTCTCCTCTTGGGATTTTGGGTACACACGCACACACAGCCAGTGTATTTTTCAAGCCACTACATCTGAGACTCAGTGTAGTTGGCCATGTGGGATCTGGTTGCCTTAACCACCATGTCACCTGACTGGGGCTATTTTAGATGATTTTTAATGGCATGAATTTACTGATTTTTTTTCTGCAGCATCTAATCTGTTCTGAATACTATTTGGTACATTTATTATTGTAGACATGGTAGTTTTTATTTTTAGACATATGATTTGGGTCTTTTTATGTTTTCATTTCTTTAACCTTTTCAGCATAATGGGAATCAGTTATAATAACTCTTTCCTTGTCTTTATTCTAATTCTAATATCTCTATCAGTTCTTGGGCATTTTCAGTAGATTATCCTCCTTAATAAGTGTTGTGTTACCCTATTTCTTTGTGTGCCTGTTAATCACATGTCTATTAATTTGCTTACCTAACTTTGTGAATTTTATCTTGTTGGATGGTGGATATTTTGTATTCCTATAAATCTTATTGAGCTGTGTTCAGAGAAGCAGTTCAGTTACTTGTAATACTTTATGTGTATGTGTGCTCAGAGTCTGGAGAGGAGAGTGGAGGAGAGAGGATTGAGGTGTAGTCATCACCCATGGGGATGCTTTCTGTTTCTCTCTCTCCCTGTGTCTGGGGCAAGTGCACCAGCCTCAGAGCAAGCTAAAAAGTAATAATAGGGACCAACAGTTGTCAGAATGGCTATGTTGCTGGACTCCCAGTTTGAGTTTGCTGGACCACAGTTGAGTCCCAGACCCAGTGGCTTAAATTCACGCCTAGCGCATGTGCATGCATGCCCAAGATCCTGAGAGGAAAATGGAGGAGAAGGGATTGCGGCTTGGCCATCCCCCCTGGGGGGGTGATTTTTTGCTTTCTGTCTCTCTGTCTCTCTCTATCTTTCTGGCAAGCGCAAGTGCCCTATAGCAAAAAACTCTCCAAAAATAAAAAAATAATAATAATTTTTTCTTTTGTGGCTTTGAGTACAGGATCTTTTTTCAAATTGCTTATTCCTGGTACCAAAGAAAACTACTAATTTTTACATGTTCTTTTATCTGCCTACCTAGCTGAATGTTTATTAAGTCCAAGTGTTTAGTCAGTTTGCTTGGATTCTCTAGGCAGACAGTCAATATTTTACACATGATGACAGTTTTATTATACTAAGATGAGGACATTGCTGTGTTGCGCAGCAGTAATAAAATAACCTGAATATAATTTTACTAAAAGCAGTAAATGTGACCCACTTAAATAGAGTTTTATTTTAAGCAAATGGTTTTGGAAATCTCTTTTAATATTGGGTCATTGGAAAAGTCATGACATATTTTGTATGCAAAAACACATCATGACATTTTCAACAACCGAATAGTTCACCAAAAACTGCCCACCAAAATTGGGCACATAGCATTCATTACTCTATAGTAACAAAACATTGGGTAGCTTCTATAGCTTTTTTTTTTAAATAAGGTTTTTGCCGTAGGGCATGTGCACTCTCCATAGAGAGAGAGTGAAAGGGAAAGTGAGAAATCACCCCCCCCCCCCAGGGGATGGCCATGCCAGAATTTCTTCTCCTCCTAGGATCTCGGGCACATGGACATGCACCTGGCATGGTTTTTAGGTCACCAGGTTCAGCATTCAAGTCGCGATCCGCCATGTGGGCACTTTAACCACCACGCCACTTGCTGGACCCTAGTTTTTATAAATTGGCTTCTCTTTCACAGTCTAATGCCCACTATATTTTCTGAGAACCTTGAAAAATATCTATACATAAAGTGCTTGCTTTGGCAACACATATACTAAAATTGGAATGACACAGAGAAGATTAGCATGGCTCCTGTGCAAGGATGACACGCAAATTCATGGAGCGTATATTTTTTTGTAAGTAAAGTTTAACATAACAGTATTCCATAAGCAGCTTTTTTATTGTCAGATCATTGCCTGATTTAATATAATACTATTTTTAAAAAAATCTATATATGGACCAGCAAATGGTATAGTGGTTATGTCACTGGACTAGCATGTTGTCAGCCATGATTTGAGTCCTAGAACTGGCAGTGGGAGCTTAAAACTCATGCCAGGTCCGTGTGTGTGCATGTCCAAAATTCTGAGAGGAAAATAGAGAAAAAGGGATTGCATCATGGCCATCCCCCTTGCGGGAGAGGGGCAGTTTCTCACTTTCTCTGTGTTTCTGTGGTGAGCACGTGCCCCATGGCAAAAATCTCTTTCTTAAAAAGAAAAGAAAAGAAAAATATCTATGTAAAGTATAGAGTGCACATGACATGCCCTGGGCTGGTTTGACATGGAGTTCAGTCTCCTAAAGTTTCTATTACTTTTTTCACAAATCAGCTTTTCTGTAGTCAGAATATAGTTTATAATAACAGTTCTTTGTATCACTTCTTTTTTGTTGTCTTTAGAAATTTTTTCAGCAAAACAATAATCTTGGGGCTACCTAACCCTTAGAAGGGAATTCAAGGGCAGTTAAACATACTTGTGCTCAACTTGTGTATACCTTACAAAATCAGTTCTATTTCCCTAAGAAAATAATGAGACAGCTCCAGAAAGACTTATGTAATATGATGCTTATTTCAACATCAGTTATGAAAACAAATTGTAAAATATCTTAAACAACTGATAATACGAAATCAGTTAAGTTATGGTACTTTATGTATACCTATATAATCATATATTCAGTTACTAAAGATAATTTTGTCAGGGATACATAAAAGAACTGGCTGGTGGGAACCAGCAGTTAGCGTAATGGCTATGTCACTGGACTCCCACATAGTTGACTGCGGTTCACGTCCCAGACCCGGTCGCTTAAAACTCACGCTGGGCGCGTGTGCGTGCGTGCTCAAGATCCTGGGAGGAGAAGGGATTGCGACGTGACCATCCCCCCTGGGGGGGGTGATTTCTCACTTTCTGTCTCTCTGTCTCTCTCTGTCTGTCTGGCAAGCACACACGCCCTATAGCGAAAACCTCTCAAAAAAAAAAAAAAAGGAACTAGCTGGTGACACAGTAGAAGAACACGTTGCTCTGTGAAGGGGACCCACATGGGAGAGTTCTGGGTTCAAGTCCAGAGACCTCCCTGAGTGTCTCAGGCATGTGCATCCCCATTATCCAGGGTTGGCTGTGGCCAGGGGTGGGTAGCCAGGCTGGGACCCTGTTGGGGATACTCGCTTAACACTCTGTCTCTCTCACTTACAAAATATTAAATAAACTTAAAGAAATATGTAAGTACATGGGAAAATGTTTGTTATAGTAAGTGGAGAAAAGTAAGACTTGTAACTGTATATAAGGTATGTTTTCTTTTACATAAAAATATATATACATGTGCGCACACACACCCAGAGGTAAATGGTTGCAAAGAAATTTTGCCTGTTACAAAATTTAATTCATTTTCTTTTGTTTTTGGTTTAAGTTAAGATAATATTTATAAGGTGATATATAAAGATAATTCGACAGTGAAAGGACAAAGTTCCTAGAGATGCAGAGATTAGGATTCTGGTCCTGTCAGTATCACACACTAGTTATATCACCTTAAGGTCTCATAGCCTTGATTTCATAGTTGATAAAATGAGTCTTGTGAGCTACAGTCACATAAAGGTGTTTTGTTTGTTTGTTTATTCGTTTTGGAGAGGTTTTTGCTATAGGGCACGTGCACACGCCAGAAAGACAGAGAAAAACAGAGAGATAGAAAGCGAGAAATCACCCCCCAGGGGGGTGGCCATACCGCAATCCCTTCTCTATTCTCCTCTCGGGATCTTAGGCATGCACACACATGCGCCTGTCATGAGTTTAAGCCTTTAGGTCTGGGACTTGAATCGTCGACTACATTGGAGTTTGGCAACATGGGAGTTATGCTATCTGTTGGTCCCAAGGTGTTTTACAAATATAAGTGATTATTAGCATTTATCTCTTGTTTGCACGTGGCTGGCCTACTTGCAAGTAGTCTACTTCATACATATGGGCAATTAAATACACAAGTAAACAAAGTTGATGTTTGTAATGTATTAATGTGTGGCGGTTAGCAATGTCGAGCTTTAGCGTTGTAGCCTTGAAGCATCATTTGCTTTCAGGTTATACCACAGTCTTTAAGAAAACTGGAGATGAACAAATACCCCTTTTCAGATAATGTCCTGAAAAGTAATCTGTTTATTGGATATTCCCAGAGACGTCACAGAATTTTTATGGGTCTGATCTGTGTGAAATGATGAAGTCAAGGTGGACAAGAGTTGTCAAAAACATAAATTGTTTTATACACGGTCGTCTATGTATGAAAATACTACTTTTCAGCTTATGTGGTATTATTATTTCACTCGAGATAGATGTGTTTTCTCAGTGGCTTGAAGGAAGGAGAGCAGAATGTAGGTCAGTTTTGACAGCCAGTTTCTAAACATTTTAGATTTTGCACCTGTGATAGCATTTTTTTCTCGTTGCCAATAAAGACACTAGGGAGAGCAGAATCTTGATTTTATCCTGTTTGTTTAGTGCTTATCGTTCTGCTTACTATCTTTTAGTGACTACTCCGTTTCCAGCTGTCTAAACATTCTAGCACATTCCTGTCAGAAATGTGACTCTAGCCCAGGTTCAAGAATGGTAGTGACCACTCCCTCATTGTTTATTACTTCCTCAACACACTTTTAGTTAAAAATTGAAATGCTTGAACCAGCTAGCATTATTATAGTTCAAATTCAAAGCCTAGAGCAGTACTTCTGAAATAGCGCTATCAGTTCCTAATACTTCAAATTCCATTATTGCTTGAATCTTATGGCTTCTGTATTCGAAAAGCAAACATTTAACTACATGTTAGGGCCATTTAAAATTTTTTTTAGGTTTTTGCCATAGGGCATGTGCACTTTCTAGAGAGAGACAAAGAAAGAGAGAAGGAAAGTGAGAAGTCATCCCTCAGTGGGGATGGCCACACACAATCCCTTCTCCTTCATTCTTCTTTCAGGATTTTGGGCATGCACGCACATGTGCCAGCATGTTTCTGCCAGGTCCAGAACTCAAACCACCCAGTCAGCCATGTGGGATCCAGCCACCTTAACCTCCATGTGATCTGTTGGCACCTGAATGAATTCTTTTTCTTTCTTTTTTTTTTTTTTTGAGAGGTTTTTGCTATAGGGCGTGTGCGCTTGCCAGAAAGACAGAGACAGAGAGATAGAAAGCGAGAAATCACCCCCCAGGGGGATAGCCAAGCCGCAATCCCTTCTCCTCCATTCTACTCTCGGGATCTGGGACACGCATGCACACACGCCCGGCGTGAGTTTAAGCCACCGGGTCCAGGACTTGAACCACTGTCGACTACATGGGTGTCCAGCGACATAGCCATTACGCTACCTGCTGGTCCCCTGAATAAATTCTTGAAACTGGAACATTATAGAAGGGAGTTTTTGGAAAATAGTTACTTTTAATGTTTCCCAAAACAGGCCCAGCCATAGAGGAGCACCAACAATACCACTTGAGAGCTGGAAGCAGCGTAGAAGACCCAGGACTGGTTTCCAGGCAAATGAGGACATGCTAGGCATGGTTGCATGGTTACATTTCAAGGTGCTGGGTCTGGGATTCGAACTACAGTTCGCCTTGTGGAAGTCCAGCACCTTAACCACCATGTCACCTGCTGGTCCCGGGCCATTTCTTTTCATTCTTTGAAAAGTAAAAAAATTTTACAGAAATTTTTATCACCTCAGTTGTGTAAGCTATTAATTTGTTTCTTTTCTCAATATTAATATATTTCTTTTGAGAACACAGACTGCACAATTTTCCCTAAAGTGTAATTCTTTATTTTGTATTTATTTTTAATTGCATATATATTATACATTTAATCACTGTATATCATTACAGTATGTACAAATAAATTTTAAACATATATATTTTATACAATCACTATTTAGTTTCTTTTTGTTATTTTTCCAAGTACAAGTTCTTTTTTATTTACTTATTTATTTTAATTTGACCAGAGGGGGAGGGAGAAAGAGAGAGACAGAAAGAAAGCAAACTACCAGGTCCAAGACTTGAATTGCACTTGGCCATGTGGGGGTCACGCACCCTTAGCCACCATGCCACCTGCTGTCCCAAATCAGTTTATAGTATTACAGCATGCAAAATAGTTTTCCCAGCACACAAGTATAATTCTAATGATATTTTAAATGCATAGTATAAAATGTTTTTTAAAAATATTTCCTTCATATAAGAGACAAATGTATACGCATGCATGCATGTGTGTACACACACACATGCACCCCGCACACACACAGAGACAGCCTTGTTAGGCCCTTCATGCCATGATCCTGCCCCTACCACTGCAGCCAGCCAGGGTCATGGGAGCACCTGGCATGTTCAGGTATACTCAGGAACCAAACCCAGCCTTATTCATATGGCTTCTGACTTTACCCACCGGTGCCCACACTGCCTGCACCACTGCCACTGGGCCTTAAATAATTCCTCTTTGCAGCTACCATTGGTGTGTGAAATAAAGGATCTCATGTGCAGCCAGTGTCTCATTCTCACTCGCAACCTTTTTTTGAATAATTTTAGTAAAAATATGAGCAGGCCCACCACAAGATACCATTACTATCTTAGTTGTGCTCATGTTAAGCTGTATTTTGAAGAAGTACTTAATGAATCTGAAAAATGCTCCTTGGAATTTCCCATAAGTTTTAAGGTTAATACTTTTTTTTAATCTCAGAATTCCTGTTGTAATGTAAACTGAGGTAAAAGATGCTATTTAAGTGATTAAGGAGATTTTACTATCTAAACTTCCTTCTGGATGGTATGTGTTTATTATTCTCTATTAGAAGAAGGAATTTTCTTAAAGGCTTTTTCTTTTCTTTTTAAAGGGACACGTTTAATTTTAATTTAAAGGTTACACAGTAAAACATGACTCAGTAAGATATAAATTTGAGTGTGGTTGAAAGTCTTGGGAAAAAAATATGTATTCACTTTGAGAGAGAGAGGAAAGGAGACAGAAAGAGGGGGAGTGCCAGAGGTATTTCTTTTTCTTTTTTTTGGAGAGATTTTTTGCTGTAGGGCACCTGTGCTCACCTGAAAGACAGAGACAGAGAGAGAGAAAGCGAGAAATCACCCCTAAGGGAGGATGGCCATACCACAATCCCCTCTCCTCCATTCTCCTCTTGGGATCTTGTGCATGCATGCACACGTGCCCAGTGTGAGTTTAAGCCACCGATCCGGGACTCAAATCATGGTCAACTATGTGGGAGTCCAGCGACATAGCCATTACACCAACTGCTGGTCCCGCTATCCCCAACTTTTCATTTTAATGAAATCCAGCTTATCAGTTACTTCATTCATGGATCATGCCTTTGGTGTTTTATCTAAAAAGAAATTGCCAAGCCTACATCTTGGTGAACAAGATGTCCTTTCATTATACTGAATTGAAGACTCTTAGATTCTTGAGGAAATTTAAAATAATTTTGTTTTTCATAAGTAATACATACTTTGTACATTATTTTGAATTTGTTTTGCTGCATGATTTGTTCTCATATTTGGGGAAAAGTCTTCATTTGGTGCAGTGTTCCTAAAAATGTCATTTTACATCTTAGTGTCATCTGTGAAAAATTTAGGTTGTCTTCAGAAAACGTGTATGCACATTGGTGAAAATTTTCTAAATCATGAATCTGTACATGAATTTTTGCTGTTATCCGAAATGACATGCCACATCAGATAGAAATTAAAAATGTGAGAATGTTTTAATGTTTCTCAGAAATTAATGAATAATAATTTTCATTATACTTAAACATAATAATATTTTTTTCTATCCCATTTAGTTTTGTCAGCCTGGTGGGTGGCAGCTGTCCAAAGAGAGGAAGCAGCCAACATTCTTTGTGGTGGTTCTGACAGACATTGACTCAGATCGGCATTATTGCTCATGCCTAACCTTCTACGAGGCAGAGATCAATCTTCAGGTACAAAATCATTTCTATCTAAAGTATAGTCAAAGGAACAACATTTAGGAATCTTTTATATCATATTTGTTTTTGTTAAAACTGCAAGTTTGACTTAAAGAATATTCTCTGTTAAAAAAAAATCTCTGTTGAAAATGACGTATATGCTAATATTCTTGATTTGATTGACGTGTATTATATGCATGCATTGAAAAACCACGTCATGTGCTATAGAGATGTATTGGGTTGTCAGAAAAGTCATGACTCAGGGTCAGCAGGTGGCATGGTAGTTAAGTATGCTGGATTCCCACGTGGCCAACTGCAGTTCAAGTCCTGGACCTGGCGGCTTGATTTCTCTCTTTCCCTCTCTCTTACTCTGTCCCTCTGTGTTCAAATTAAAATAAATAAATAAAGTTAAATAAAATAATTTTTCAAAAAAATAGTCATGTCTTATTTTTTGCGTAGAAAAACAGAAAAATACCTCCTTTTCTGATAACCTAATATAATGATGAAATGTAAATTTAAACATATTTTAAACAACAAATTTAAGTTTTATGGGCTGTTTTAAAAGTTTAATGTTGGAAAGTGAAACAAGGAAAATTTACTTTCCAGGTTTAATTTTCCTCTTTTAAGATATTGACTATAATGAGAATATTTCCAATGCTGTATTTGTAAATTGGTTTATTGATATTAGTTTCCTTTCCTGGTGAACCTGTGATTTTTTTCCTCTGCCTGTCTTTTTCCAAAGAGGTCTTTACAGAACACAAAGCATTTCATTGGAATGTTTGTAAATTTTATGACTCTTTGACATTGTCATTTAAGCACTCAAACAGCTGTTAACTCCTTTATTCTTAGTGGTAGTGTTATCAACATAAAAAGAAACTACAATGGAACTATAGAAATTTAAAATACTTGCTCTATCAGAGTAGTGGTTGAGGTTCTACTTTCAGATACCTGGTCTACTTTATCTAATTTAAATCTAAAGGACCTATGACAAGTACTGAGCCACTTAGGGAATTTCAGGGGTGAGGGATAATAAGTAGGGAGCCAATTCTGGATATAGGAACAAGCATATTGGGGCTATTCTCATGAAACCACACTCACTCCGGGTCTCAGACAGTGTAACATTCACTGTAGTTGCTCTAGAATATCTGGTATGAGTAGCGGCCATCTCACACTGCTCACTTCTGCTTTAAAGTCTCACATGGCTTGTTTCCTTGGTGGATGTCAGATTTCATGGGAGTCAGAAAAACCTAGGATTTTTTTTTTTTTTTTTTGTGATAGTGGTGGTGGTGAGCATTTGTTTTGCCTTCCAAGCTCTCTGGTACAAGAAGGAAACTATGAAGGGGTTCGGAGGATGTTACATGAGCCAGTTTACATTATCTACTGTAGTTTCTGCTATATATAGAGGAGTGAATATCAATGCTGGGGGGGAAAGATCAGCTTGCTTTTTGAAATGGCCTCACAAAGGAGCATCTGTTGTTTTGACTGATTGTTAAACTCCAAGATCTGAATTTTCTGGATGCAGAAATCTGATGTTTCATTACAATAGGAGATACATTACCTTTCATTGTTCAGACTTACATTATCCAAGTTCATTATATTTTTGTATTAAAAGCAGCTTGCTTGGACCAGCAGATGGCATAATGGTTAAGTTGCTGGACTCCCACTGAGTTGACTGTTCAAGTCCTGGACTTGGTGGCTTAATCTCACATGCTTATGCGTGTGTGCCCAAAATCCCGAGAGGAGAACAGAGGAGAATGGATTGCCATGTGAGACTTAAAATCCCAGGAGAAGGGATTGTGGCAAGGCCATCCACCTTCGGGGTGATTTCTCTTGCTCTCTGTCTCTCCCTGTTTCTCTGGCAAGTGAACCTGCTCTGTAGCAAAAATCTCTCTAAAAAAAAAAAGCATTCTAGTTTAATTTCCAGTGAAATGTGAAGAGAGTACATAGGACTAAATATGAATTATCTGCATGATCAAATACTCTTTCATTGTTAGATCTTTGTGGGAAACTGTATGAAAATCCAAAGGCTTTTGATTGCAGAATCAAACTAAGGAAAAGTAGATGTAAAATATTTAATAGCTATCAGACATAGCCTGTTGCTTCTGTTTGTAATTAGGGATTCTGTTGTCAATGGGGACAGAAACTTAAAAGGTCTATGACTCTCGTTTCCTCGGCCCTGGATAGTGTTGGAATGGATGTTGCCATAAAATAGCTTATCAAATTTCCCACTTGATCAGGTCAGTCTAAATAAGTTACGTGGGGCCAGCAGGTGACATGGTGGTTAAGGCACTGGACTTTTACATGGTCAACTGTGGTTTGAGTCCTGAACCTAGTCAGCAGTCAGTCAGTCAGTCCCTCTCTCTCTCTGGCAAGTGCATCTGCCCTATAATAAACTTTAAAAAATAAAATTAATTAATTTAATTAAATAAATACATTTTTTAAATAAATAAGTTATAGAATGTTTTCTAGTGCCAATCCCATTCTATCTTTTTTAGGTGACCTTTTAGTTCTATTATTGATCTTTAAGTTAACACTAAGAATGCAGTATTTTCTGTTAGCTCCACATTCTTGAGGTATTTGAAGAGTCACAGCCCCCTAGAATTATCTAAAGAAACTAGCTACAATTATTGGGAACTAGCAGTTAGCGTAATAGCTATGTCGCTGGACTCCCATGTAGTCGACCACGGTTTGTGTCCTGGACCTGGTGGCTTAAAACTCACGCCGGGCACGTGTGCGTGCGTGCCCAAGATCCCGAGAGGAGAATGGAGGAGAAGGGATTGCGGCGTGACCATTCCCCCTGGGGGGTGATTTCTCACTTTCTGTCTCTATGTCTCTCTGTCTTTCTGGCGAGCGCACGCGCCCTATGGCAAAAACCTCTCCAAAAAAAAAAAAAAAAGAAACTAGCTACAATTATTTAGGTTCTCCCTCCCTTCTTCATAACTCACCCCTCTTCTCTCTGACTGAAAGTCAGCACATGAGGACATAGTAGCAGGTGCTCAGAAAGATATCCTAAGGATTTGAAAGTAGTTTTCAAATTTGTGATTTGGAAATAATTTGAAACATACAGAAACGTTGCAAGAATAGTGTAGACAGTTATATGTACTTTACCTTGTTTCCCTATTTTTATTTTGACCATTGATTTAGTTGAGGCTTTTCTCTCCCTCTCTTCCTCTCTCCCTCTCTTCACTCTCTCCCTCTTCAATCTCTCCCTCTTCACTCTCTCCCTCTTCACTCTCTCCCTCTTCACTCTTTTCCTCTCTTACCCTGTCTCTTCCCTTCCCTCTACAACACACACAAACACACACACACACACACACACACACACACACACCTTTTTTTCCTGAGCAATTTCAGAGGAAACCTGCATGTATAGTCTTCCTTTACCCTAAATTCTTTAGTGTATATTTCAAAAGAATATAAACATTACATTAGCACTAATCAACCTCAGGGATTTAATATCGCTATAGTACTTTAATTTACCATCTATATTTTAATTTCGGCATTTGACCTAATAGTATCCTTTATAGTGCCCTGCCCTTTTTACATCCAGTGCAAGATCTAGCACATACTGTTGATATTGCATTTATTGTTTTTATTTTATTTCTATTTATTTATTTATTTATTTTTGCCATAGAGTGTGTGTACTTGCCATAGAAAGACAGAGACTATGAGGGGGAAATGAGAAATCACCCCAATGGTGGATGGCCTCGCCACAATCCCTCCTCCTAGGATTTTGGGCATGTGTACACACACGCGCCTAATGTGATTTTCAAGCCTCCAGATCCAGGTCTCATACCGCAGTCAGCCAAGAGGGAGTCCAGTGCCTTAACTCCCCCACCACCTGCTGCCTCCATTATTTTGCTTTTGTCATTTCTCTTTTGTCTCTTTTTAGGTGGAATTCCTGCGCAGCCTTTATTTGTCTTCTGACATTGACATTTTTGAATAAGTTCCCACCTCTCTTTTTTTCCCTCACTAGATTTAAAATTTTAATTGACATTTAATAATTATACATATTTATGGGCAGAGTGTGGTAATTGATACATGTATATATTGTATAATCATCAAATTAGAGTATTTAGGATATTTAGCGTGTCCATCACCTCATACATTTATCATTTCTTTATGGCGAGAACATTCAATGCCCTCTCTTCTAGATATTTTGAAACATATAATACAGAATTGTTCATCGGAGTCACCCTACTGTGCAATAGAACACCTTCTGTCTGCCTTCGTACACATTGACCAGTCTCTCTCTGCCCATCTCTGCCTCTTTTAATAGAATATTTCTTAGTTTGTGTTTCTGATGTCTCTCATCATTAGATTTATGTGTGTATCAGCAATTGGAATACTACCAAAGTGCATTTCTTCCGAGGGTGCCTATCCTTCTGAGGGTACACATTCAGTTGATACAGAATATTTGTATGCCCTCATTGATGCTGTTCATTCTGGTAACCTCATCAGGTAAATATCAGATTTCCCCACTGTAGAGTTGTATTTTTTCACTGGCACCTACTGAGCAGCTGTAGGAAGACACTTTAAGGCTGCGCAAATATTCTACCACAGTACTAATCTGCCATACTGTTCTGGATTTTACATGAACTGGTGATTTGTGTCTGTGCCAATTTTGATTATGTTGGTTGCAGAATATTTCAAATTTCATACTCCTTCTCTATTATCAGTCATCAGTTGATATTTTACTGTAAGCAAGAGTTCCTCCTTCTCGTCAGTTGTCAGAGCTATGGACTTACAGATTTTCCATTAGTAGTATATAATTCACTAATGGTTTTTATTATTTTAATGCACAAATTGTCCCATATTTGGCAAGTAGGCACCCCTCAGACTGGTTCCTGTGTTCCATGACAAGACCTCATCCTTCTTTTTTTTTTTAAAAAAATATTTATTTAACTCTATTTATTGTTGTTATTATTTTCTTTTAAAATTTTGCTATAGGGCAGGTATGCTAATGGGGGTGGGGAAACGTGAGAAAGCAAGCCACCAGGTCCAGGACCTAAACC